TGGGTACCAAAATAGAATTTATATAAAATTGTTGTAAGTGTCCAAAAAATGAAAAAAAAAATTATAATCTAAAATACCAATAAATTACAAATAAATGTCCAAACAACGAATTTAAATGACATCTATTTCAAATAGAATACATTTAAAATACAACGGTCCAAACGCTGAATTTCATTTTCCCACTCTTCATTGGGTTCAAAGGAGGATTGGAACTCAAACTGGGGTTTTTATCTTACATGACCTTATGTTATAACGAGACTTTCTTGGAATAAACTATCATGAATCTCCAAACATACTTTGTTTACTACAGACGTTATATTTTGATCTTGGGTCTTTTTATCAATCAGGTTAAACTCGTGGATTATAAATAATAATAATGTCTAGCTCTAAGTTTAGTACCTACAATATATCCGAGTCTTCAATAATTTGACTCGGATCAGTATTTGAATAAGCTCGGGTTTCATAAAACCAACCGAAGTAGAGAATAAAATTGTGAATTTATACAACTGGATTTTTGTATTATTTTTATTGATAAATCCAAAATCTAGTGCCAGCCCAGAAGCCTATTTTCCTATTTTTATCAACTTTTCTTTATCTTGCGTGATTGAGGAACAGTTACCATACATCACTCTTTCCTTTCCCTGCTTGTTAAGACTATCCACAATGGTGGAAGGGAAAAAAGGAAAAAAAGGATGGGAAAAGTGGGAAAAAAGGATGAGAGAAGGATAATTGCCACAATAGGTGGTAGGAAAAAATGGTATTGAGGAGGAGTTTTTTTTTCAAAATCAATCTAGAGTTGATATGGTAACTTTATTTTGATAATTTATTCATTATTTTTATATAGGTAGTATTAATTAATTAAGACGAACATTTCGATATAATTTTTTTTCAATTTGGACATAAAAAATTTTATCACTAAAATCCAATAACTCATAAAAATCAAATAAAAAAACCATAAAACAATTTTTAAAAACAAAAAACAAAAAAAACCCACCCACATGGTCCCCCTTCCCTTCCTCCTCCCACCCACCTGGACCCACTTCCCCTCTTTCTTTTAACCTCTAGCGCAGGATAAACCCTCCCCTTATTTCCCTTTTATCCTTTTTTTCCATAATACTCACCCCTATTGTGAGCCATCTTCTCCTTTTTTCCCCTTTTATCCTCTTGTTCCCTTCTTGCTGTGGACAGTCTAATTTTTTTTTTTTTTTGTTTATCCAAGCTCCTGAGCTGACGTTTTCTTCTGTTGTAGGAGTAGAAGACTGAAGACTTTTGTTTGTGTATCTCTATGCATGGGCTCTTCTGTACTTGATCGTGAGCTGTCTGTTGAGGAAGAGAAAAGACTATGGACATTTGGACCAATGAAATACTAACACGTCACATGGGGGGTGGCAACTGGCAACTGGTTTTCGAGCCACGCGGCTGGGAGAAAGAAACGTGTCAGCATCTCTCTTGCATGTCAGAGAAACGTGGGCCTACTAATAGTAAACTAACAAGTTGAGCTGAGCTTTATTTATCAGAAAATAAAAAAATGTGGACCTAGAGTTGGGCCTGGTCCGTCTGGACTTAAAACGTTGGGTTGAACAAAAGCCCAGTAATTGAAATCGAAGCTCCCGGCATCACCTAAACTCTATTTTAGCTGCAGCTCAATAATTACTCTTTTTCGGAAACAACAATTAAACAATCAATTCAAAATGGACGAAGAAGTTACTTCACAATTATAGTCTCATGAAATCATTTAACACAACAAATTCGAGCATTCCACAAAGGCGAGATCAACATTATTAAACACACAATCATTAGTGTCACGCAAAGTAAAAGTGGGATTATTATCTATACGACCGCCAAATATTGATAGAAAAATATATACAAGCTTGGTACTCGCCTACAATAAATCAAACAAACAGTAATGAAAATTACCTGAATTCATGATGAATTGGATTTGAGTTCCAAATCAACCACCCAAAACCACATAAACAGAGCAACCCAAAAGCCATGACAACTCCAATGTATGTAGCATATCCGAATGTTATTATAGAGGAAAACAAACAACAACTCGCAAAGGAAACAAAGATTATAGCAATCGCACAGTAATATAACAGTAAAAAAAATGTGGTATATCTACAAGTTATCTTATGGGTTACTTACAAAAGCAAGCAAAGGTGAGTTGACACATCTTGTTCTTGACAGGGCGGGGAAGATATCGAAGAAGATATCACGTATCTTTTGATCGTTGCTACCCAATCCTTGCTGCAGCTAATATTTTGCTTTTCTTGTGTGAAGTGAAGTGAAGAGAAGAGGAGGTAGGAGCAATGATCGCGGCCACTCCTTTGGCGTAGGGAAAGGGCTGATGTGATTTGTGAGAGCATAGCTTTGCAGGCCGTTTTCATTGCAAAAAGGGTTATTAAGAATTTACGGGTCGTTTGCTTCATGGATTTGAAAAATGAAGGTTTTGGTAAAACCTGGGTTTTGGAAATCCATGGCTTATGAAGGTTTTAGATCCATTATGGACTTTTAAAAATCCATTGTTTGTTTCATGGATTTCATGATGGATTTTGTTTAATGAAATTTGTAGATATTAAGTGAAATTGACCTTATTGCCCCTATCTATAATCTTATAACGAAAGAAGACTCCAAATGTGCAACATATCATCATTAATTAAGCAAATGGTTCATTCTTTGTGTCGGAGGCTGCATTGGAAGGACAAGTGCCGGGGGAGATAAATACTGAATATTAATTGCAAGTTTGAATTGATCTCCATTTTAGTAAGCAAAGCATAACATAAATCAATTGTGGCGATTACTCGAAGGACATTCTTTTAGCAAGCAAAGCATAACATAAATCAATGGTTGTGATTACTCAAAGGACAACAAGAATGTTGTTTGCTGGAAGTAGAAGGAGATAAAAGAAAATGGGAGGATGGCAATGGTGGTGATTCTGGGGTTCTTCGTGCAAGCATTTGTGACTCATAAGGGTCCAATTGGTGATTTTTGGAGCACCTCGCCACCCCATTTCACAATATAATCATTCATGCCTCTGTAGCCGTCACAAAACACCTTGTATGACATATATGTAGAAATTGAAGTAGGAGGGTAGATTGGCCATTTATATAAAAAGTGAGGACAAATAAGTAAAATACCATCATGGATTTTAATCCATCACCCAATTCCCACCTTCATAGCTAGTTTTTCCAAATCCGTGGGGTCCACGAATTTGGACCTCAAAAGTGCATGGGCCCCACGGATTTACACTCCCTAACTCCTTCAAGCAAACATTGGACTTTTGTCAAAATCCATGAAGCATGCAAATCCATCCCCAAATCCATCAACAAAACCCTCAAGCAAACGAACCCTTAAGATATATGGTTAACAATTTAGTTATTAATTACAAACATAGCATGCAAAGTAGAGGAGATTTGCTTTGTTGTTTTACACTCTGTTTGGGAAGAGGGGTAAATGGGAGGAGGGTGCAAATGTGAGGGGTAAATACAATTTCCAACACATTTGCACCTGTTTGGTTAATTTGGAACAGTAGGGGGGTGCAAAACGGGAGTGCAAATTTACTGTTTCGGCTTACCCCCCAAATTGGGGTGCAAGGGAAGGAAGGAAGAGAGGGGGAGGGGGGAATTATGGAATTTTGTTTTTCTAATTGTGTTATATATAATTATATAATAATTAATATTATCAATTTCTTCTTTTTATAAATATCATTAATGTAAACATTATTCGGGGTTGACCATTTGACTCTGGAAACAAGTTTATCAATGTTCGTCAAGTCAAATCTAGATCTCTTGGTTGAATCGAATTTGCATTGAAAATTAGAGATACGAAGTGTTTGTGGAAAAGATAGAGAGAAATTGTTTGGTTAACTCAGTTTATTTGACTAAATAGTTAAAACTTACAAATTCGGACGTGTTTGACAATTTAAGATTAAACTAGACACGAAAACCCTATATAGGATGACCAGTTACAAGTTGAGCTTCGAGTTTTGAGATTGCTCGATCAATGATTATACAATTGTCATAATTAATTATTATTTGAGCATTATTATATAATAACTATTTTTAGTAAAGTATATTTATTATTATATAGTAATATTTATTTAATTATTTTATGATAGTATTTTAAAATTTTAAAATCTATTTTGTAATCTTAAAATCTATTTTTAAAATCTATTTTAAAATAATATAATTACTTACTTTTCACTCTATTTGCACCCCCCTACTTTTTCATCCAAACAACAATTTACCCCTCCACTTACACCCCCCAGCAATTTACCCCTCAACTTGCACCCTCCTTCAATTTGCACCCCCCTTGTTGCCAAACAGAGCGTACACGTTACGTAGGGTATGATGTACCAAAAAAAAAAGAGAGTATAATCTCGAGTTAATTATCATTCTCAAAAAATATAACATAAGATGTGAATTGGGTTGTTCATTTTCACGAACTGTCAAGACTCGTTAGAAAAGTGTCAACCGGGACCATTGGATCTTAGAGTATATCTCGTAAGATTGTTTTATTATGTGTGCTCATGGTATGGAAATGTGAGGAGTAGATATGGAAGTAGAGCCTAGTTGTTGAGAGGGTTTAAGTGCATACTAGATTATTTTGCGGGATTGATCAGAATTTCTGTGTTATACTGATCCCAATATCATAATCACTAATAACAAGTAACTGTTGAAACTCAATCCCAAATTCCAATTCTATAAAATAGTACGTGTATTCGACAATATCAAATATCTACAAATTTGGTACGGTGTTCAATGTATCTACTCTATGATTTTGGATGCACAATACTTAACCACAATGTCATTCCAACAATGAACAAAATAGGGTAGAAGTTAGAGATAAAGTAAACTAAATAGGTGATTTCTAAAAAAAAAAAAAAACTAAATAGGTTATTCTTGTCATTATTGTTCAAGGTTGTCACAAAAAAAACTAAATAGTTCTTATTTTCCTTACATATTTTGTCACAAATCGATATCCAATCTTATTTACAGATCTGCCATTTCACTTCTCTCCTGCATCAATCGCCGATTGGAGCGCGTGCAACACACTGTACTAGTAAAGGAAGGTGAGAGCTGGAAATTTTACTGATAAATTCTTCCACCAAAAAGAGGGGAAAAATAAAACACACAGCACTCTCCCTCGCGTTTCCGCCACCGCCCGTCGGCGAGTCCGTTCTTCCACCGAAATGCATAACAGAATGAAGTCGGTGGGTTGGGGGAGATCGACCGGCAACCAGAAGGTTCCGACAGTTCTGCCAGTCCGCCGAACGCGGCCCTCTCTAAAGGAAGACTTCCCATTCTTTGGCAGCTTGGAGAAGAGGGGAAAGGCCGAGAAGAAACCAGCGCAGTTGGAAGGTAATCTTCTCTTCCTTCTCCATTCGAGGCCGAGAAGAAACCAGCGCAGTTGGAAGGTAATCTTCTCTTCCTTCTCCATTCGAGATCGCCATTGTCGATCAAGTTCGTCTTTCCACTGTTCCGAATTTCCGTTTTTCGTGATCTCCGATTAAGATCGTCGAGATCTATCTCTGCACCAGTTCTTTGACGAATTATTGCTCGCGTCGATCTTGTTCGTCGTTATCTATCAAAATTCTATTTCTCGTGATCTCCATTAGCTGATTTAGCTCTTCCAGATCTACCAGTTCTTTAATCGAGTTTCTGCCATTTTTGATCATGTTCGCTTCTCTGATCAAAATTTCTATTTCTCGTGATATCCGTAAAGCTGTTCGAGATTTATCTGATCACCAGTTCTTTAACGACTTTCTGTAATTGTTGGTCCTGGTTCTTCGTTTCACTGATGTAAATTTCACTTGTTTGATTATTGCGTTTGTGCAGAAAGGTGGTGCGGTTGTCGATTGCGCAAGTGTTGACTGCGATTTCTCAGACTCAGAAATCTGTTCTGCGTGAAGCCTACAAGAACAAGAAGTTCTTGCCTCTCGATCTTCGTCCCAAGAAGGCCAGAGCCATTAGGAGGAGGCTTAGCAAGCATCAGGTACTTCTTTTGATTCTACACATTTCGACCATTGTGATTATGCAATTTGAGTTGCAATCAACTGGGATCCCTTGTTGAACCGAGGGTTTGGCTAGCATCATCACCTGCGGTTTACTGTATGAATCTGGAATATTTGGTTGCCTGATAAAAGATCTGGAACATTGGTTGATTGTTGATAATCGTATCAGAATTGTCCTCTTGTTGGGATACAATGCCCTGCAAGTTAGTTGTGGCTCTTATATATCATGTAGATGTCCGATTTTAAATTGTTCTCTACATCACAGTTCGCTGTTTCTGTTCATTATCTTGCTGGTTAAGTCAACAAGTTTCATATCTAATTTTTTCGTGGTGTTGTAGGTGTTCGTGGATCATGGATTTTCGTTTTCCTAATGGTATAGTCTCTGTTTTCTATTCCCTCGTGCTCCATCTCTAGTTTTTTTGTTCCATCACTAGTTTTTGTAGCCTCTAAAACCTATTCTCTGATGCCTTTAACTAACTGTAGTGCACTTTTTATTTGCAGTCTTGGATCTCACGCCCTTTACCCTTCAGCAAAGGGTAAAGGTATCCAAGTTTTTGGCACGTATGGATGTGCAGAACTATATGTTTGTGCTTTGGAAGACAAATGCTCTCTGCATCTTCAAACATGCTATGCTTCGAAGAGCCGAAAAGCTTGCATCAATACGGAATTATGTAGATGTTGCTGATCTTGGTTGGAGGGTGGATACCCCCATTGTCGAACCTCTGGCAGTGGGTGAAGACCTAGTCCTTCCAGAAGACATCAGCTCATTTGTTATGTGTGAAGATGCCCTGAAGCACTTTATAGCAGATCAGGAGCAAAAAATTATAAGTTCCCATGTTACCATTGAAGATATGCCAGTTTCTGCTGAAGATGGAGCTATACCGGGTTTTAATTACCTGTCTTCCGAACAGAGCGCCCGATTGACAAAGTTCATGCAGCTTCAGGATGTTCACCGTGTACTTTGGGAGAGTTTGAAAGATGAAGAAATAGACCTTGTTCTGTCTGGAGTGGAAAAGGGGCTGTTTGCTGCTGATGGCGAGGACTTTCATACTCATGCTAATGAGGTTAGGTCTGCTGTGAATCCTGAATTTGGTGACAGACTCGCCAAAGCAATCGTGGAGTGGCACTCCTGTTTTGCATACCCTGATTCCCTTGCACCATTGCCTTATCAGGTTTCTGTTCCAATTGACTGTGTGCTTCCCTTGCATACCCTGCCTTGGACTCCCGCTGAGGTTGAGTTGCTGATAAAAGGTGTGGAGGAGATCGGGATAGGCAGATGGCAGCTACTGAAGGAAAGGAAGGGCCTGTTTCGGAGGCAAGTTTCTAATATTGTCAATAAATGGAACACGTTGGTGCAGTATGATCGTCGTCCCGGCTACTCTCAGCATCGCGATGGGTTAAGTCTGCAGCAGTTGCGTCGTGTGAAAGAAGCGAATGTGGAGAAACCCAAGGAGCCTTGGAATCAGGGGGAAGTGGATAAGTTGGTTCGAGCAGTGGAGGAGTATGGGACAGGCAGCTGGCGGGATGTGCAACATCACATGCAATCTGTCCGTGGTGTTGCGGATATTGAAGATGAGTGGTGCACCTTGATGAACCATCTCAACAGCCCCTGTTATTTTCTGAATATAGGAGCAACTACTACTTGGCAGCTATTCCGGGTCAGGGCTGCTAACATTGTGAAGATTGAGCAGCCTGGTAAAAAATCTGTGATTTCTGATATTTCTCGATCTCTTGTTTGCCATTCCATCCATTTGCCATATATTCTTTCTTTATGATGTAGGTTTTCTGTTTTAGATCGTGATTTCTCTAATGCTCTTTGCTGTTCCTGTATTTACTTTGTTTTCATGGATTCTTTGTGATTTCTGTGTGGTTGCTACTACTTGGAATGTGTAATACTGCTCAGATTGATTTCGAATTCCTTTTTCTAACAGATGTTGATTTTAAGTCTGATTGTTGTTAATGGCAAATTTGTGTTGCAGTAGGGTTTATATCGGGAACTATGGAGTTCATAACAGGTATATATATATTTTATACTTCTCTATTCTGTGTTTTCTCTGATAAATGGGCTGACTGTTTATTTATATTATTTTGCAGAGTTGGATCTTTCGCCATTTACATCTATGCAGAAGAAAATGGTCATTCATTTTCTGTACAGGAAAGATGTGAAGTGCCATCTGTTGCAGCTGTGGAGGCTCAATGCTGTTGATTTGTTTTCAACCACTCTGTCTATGAGGGGTAAAAAGCTTGCTGATATTGAGAAGTGGTTGGAATTGGGCACAGAGCCACTGGGCGATGATGAACAGAATCTTCTTGCTGAGGATACCCCGTTTTTTTCGGATTATGAAGAATCACTGTTTAGGAGAACAGAATTGCAGAAGGATTCTATTGTGAGTTCTGAACATGCTCATAATCAGGTTCTGCTATTTCCTGAAGAAGCTCTTCCTCTTGATTTGAGTTCTTTAACTCCTGAGCAGTCGGCAAGGTTAACTCATTTCATGCAACGTGTCGATGTGCACAACTATCTGCTGGAGATGTTAAAGCTGGACATTTTCGAACTTGTCTTGTCCCGATTGGAGGCAAAAATGTCTGCTGCTTTAGGTCAAGAGGAGATTGAGATACGGAGGAAAGAGCTTAATGATTTCAGCTCGGTAATTGACTTTCGTAACAGTGGCACTGGAGCAGAAAAAGACGTCATTGTCAACAGGGTGTCAAATGCTAGATATCCTGCCGGCTTTGCTCCCCAGATTCACGAGGTGTTTGTTCCTCTTATTTTTGTTGAACCAACTGACTCGAAATGGACAAATGAAGAACTAGAGCTTCTGATTGAAGGTGTGGAAGAAGTTGGAATAGGGAAGTGGGAGCTGGTGAAGGAAAGGAAGAACCTGTTTCGTAGTCTTTCTGCTATTAAATGTCAATGGGAAACTCTTGTATCGATTGACAAGGGCGAAAGCTGGCTACTTGGAGCTCTTACATTTGAGCAATTGGGTCGTGTCAGGGCAGCCAACGTTGTGAAGGTTGTGCAGTAGGTTGGTTGCTGCTGTATGTTGTCTTCTTTCTTATCCAGGTATATCTTTCAGGTTTTGCTTCTTTTTCTTTTTCTATTTAGATTTGGTGTTTTTTCCAAACCATTATTACTGGCTGTGCTTTCCTTAAGTGTTTGTAACACCTGAACCTTTACAGGTAGCAGTAGGGAGACAGAGGAGAGCCTGCGGAGTGGAGTCTTTGGAAGCTGCAAGTGCTGGAAGGAACATTGTGGAGAGGATGGGATGGGATGGGAAGCTATAGTTGATTTTCTTTTCTTGTGCATGAGATTGTAGTGAAGAGGTTTAGCTTGTTTGTGTGGGGTTCTTGGGAGAGGCTGTTCTGTTGCTCCTTGTTCTGTATAGATTTGGTATATTCCAAACCTTTAAGACAGGTTTTGTTGCTTTTCTCAGTGGTTTGAAGTACCTGCAACTTCAAATTCCTGTTTACAGGAATTCAGATCGTACATTCTATCCCTTGTATAAACTTCTTTTCAAAGTTTTGTGCTACTTACTAATCTGCATTTCAGTAGAGCCAACTGGTTATTTCTTGGTTCATCTCAGTGCTATGCTTTAATTTTTACTTTTTATTCCCCTTGTTTCTCATCTTGCTCAATGGTGTAGTGGTAACTGGTAACACTTGCTGTAGGTGATGTAAAGATTTAAGTGGAGGGGTCTCGTTGTTGGCCTGAATATGGTTCTGGTGGTTTTTCTGGGATACCTTTTATTGTTCTGTTACTTTCTTTACCCTTTCCGAAGGAAGGGAGGCAAAGGAGGGGAGGTGAATGAAAATTAGGAGGGGAGGGGAGATTTGGAGGTGAGAGAAATTGGGAGAAAAATGTTGTTTTATGGAGAAAAGACGGAAGGAAAGTTTGTATTGGGAAGTGTGATGAATATGTTATTTTATTGATTATATAATAGTAAAATAATTTGATTGTATGTTAATATTATACTTATGAATTGTGAATTAAATTTGTACTTTCTTTCTAAATCGCCACCAGAGATTTAGTGGTAGTATTTTGTTTTAAACTCGTGATTTAAGCACATCAATTATTTTATACTGTTTAAAATGGAACATCGATTTAGATTCCGGTAGGAGGTTTTTTCAGCCTGACTATCGATGGTATGGTTTTAACTGGTGTTAAGTCATTTGAGAAACCACTAATGAACCGCCGACCAATAAAAAAATATTATAAATTAAGACTTTATAATAATTGATCAAGCATTCTAATTCAATTAAAAATTATTCAAGCATACAAAATACCCTACTTTCCCGTCATAACCTCCTGTACGATTTCGTAAACCTTGATCAAATCTCTCAACGCCCAATTAATAAAAGACCTACTTAAGAATGAGCGCACATTTATAAAAATCTAATTTAGTAATTATTTATTTACCATTAAAAACAAAAAACTATTCCCCTTCCCAAATTACCGCCCACTTCATCTCTCTCTACAGTCTACACAAAAGAATCACTTTCTCCCATCTCTTCTTCCTCTCACAAAATTCCTAGATCTGCTCTTCATTTCTCCATAGAGAGAGGATACCATTTCTTATCTCCCTCTATTCTTCTTTTGCTCCAACTCTCTTCAATGACCCCTTCTTTCTCTTTTGCGGAAACTCGTTTGATTTAAAAGAAAGAGAGCCAATCAAGCTTTCTTCTTCATCTCCCTCCCTAACTGGCCTATAGAGCAACTTGTATAAACCTAATCCAACAGCGAGCTTCGATCCAGGTAAATATCGGAGCATGCATGTGCCTTTTGTTTTGTTGTTTTGTAATTTTCATTGTTTTAATTAAGCTTTTTTTGGTTTTGGAGTCCTTAACGTGGGGAAACGGGATCTAGAGTTGACCGGCGACTTCATCGCCGACGATCAACCATGGTCCAACACAGTTACTTTAACTGGGGTGATACTTTTTTTTCATCGCTGATATTTTTATTTTTCTCTTTGAAATCCTTTTGTTCTGATCATGTTCTTTCTCCTGCAGGTGAAGAATTTCTGATTTTGTGGTAACAAGAACGAAGAAGAAAACGAGAAGAGAGAGGATTAAAAAAAAATGGAAACCAAATCCCCTCTACCTTTCTCTCCGATTTGGAGGGATGGGTTATACAGTGCATTTAACCTTCTATTTCCCTCTCCTCCGCACTGTTGCTTTTTTGGAGAACGGGGGAAAGTGTTTCGGGAATGTAACTTTCCCTCCTCATTTTTCCTTTCCCTCCTTTTCCATCATTCGAGAACATAATATTAGCTTTTGGTTTACCATTATAAAAACTAGATTAGTTTGTGAGTGGAGTATTGTGTAGCTATTGTATATTTTTTCTTTTGGCAAAGTAGCCATGGTATATTTTATCTAGGTATAATTTCAGATACTATACAAGTGATCTCATTTAATTTGGTAAAGCTATGAATGATACCAATAAATACCTAAATCATAATGAACAAATAAATTAAAATATACAATTCATTTCTCAAGTATAAAGGTATATATGAGGAAAATAAATTATATATAAGAATCAAACATATTGACTACAAAAATATCATCCGTTAATGTACTGAATCAATTAGCATAAGGACATAATAGTTTGACAACTTAATAATAGTCAATCATTCGAATCGTAACCAAATCGGTTTTATTGTTTTAACTTGTTAATACATATTTGAAACAGATATATGTACATTATTTCATTTTTGGTTTCGTTGTTGAATACTAATTGCAGAACATTCCCATAATGTATAGGGTCCATATCCTAAATGAGGATTAGACAACAAAATTAAGATCCATGGAGAGGTAACCCTTAATCTTTTATTTCTATCCTACCTGAAATCTTGACCAAGATTAGCCAAGAAAACAGATAGTATAATGTTAAAATATAAGTTATTATGGTGTGATTAAACTAATATGAGGATGTATGTTTTAATCTGCTTATCAATGATTTTTTTATGGTTATTGGTTAAATGAAAATTTCAATAAACTCAAACACCCTATAATAATTACTTAAAAATTATTATATGCAACTGTCACCAAACACAATTTAGTATTAAGATATTAGCACTATAACAACACTAATTGTACAAATAACCTATCTTTTCCTTAAAAGAAAAGACTCTGTCTCAAAGTAGCATACCCTAAGACCTAAGTTGTTCAAATTTTATCTAATATCCAAACAACTTAGGGTAGGCTAAGTTGTTCAACACTAACCAAACCGTTTCATTTCATTTTGGCGAAATTTACTATTGGGTTTTGAATTACCCTATCAAACATCTACGTCACATTTATTAGAATAATTATGCAATTTTTTTTTTTATTACCCAGGAACCTCAACCCCACATGCCACTTTTGTGGCAGCGTTGTCTACTAAACCTACCTCAACCCCACATGCCACTTTGTGGCAGCGTTGTCTACTAAACCTGGGGAGTACCTGCATCAGCAACATTTCAAGGCCTAGCATCCGATACAAGGAGGAGACTTCGTCTCCAGCACTCATGGTGCCTCCGGGAACACCAAGTGGTGTAGCGGGGTTCGAACCTGAGACCTCACACATCTCAAGCCCGAAAGACCACACTCTCGACCAACTCGGCTGTGTTACCTTTGGCAATTATACATCTCGTTTTATTTTGTAATAAAACATCTATTTTATCAAGTAAACTAGCTTTGTGCCCGGCCATTGGCCGGGTAAATTTTATTATTAATAATTATTCAACGGTATAATTAAATAATATTTAGTTAGATAATATTTTTTTGTCGATGTGTGTAATTATAAAATTGTGTTTCTAGGATGAGACTTATTATAGTTTCATCTGAATTTTGACACGATATCAATATGATTTTTCACTTAAATTGTTCTATCGTAAATCAATAAATTTTAATCTCTAAAGTAAGAACCTTATACATATTGCTTTGTAAAAGTAGTTAGCTGTTTTTGATTAATGAATTTTAAACTTGTACTACTTGGGTTTCTATGTATTTACTAATATACTATATTGTTTACCCAACAACTCAAGTTTGGACCTTATTGTTTGGTCCTTTTTCATATGCATTTCTTGCGAAGTTCCTAAATAAATCTAATAATATTTTAATTTTTTTGTAAATGATAATATCATAAAAAATGAGTTCAGTACGGAAAAGGAATAAACATCTCAGCATGCATAATTCAGCAATTGATTAGTTTAAAGTAATTTTTGAACGTAATGTATATTTTCAAATCCTCAAGTTTTCAAATATTATTTTAGATATAATGTAATTCAAAAATCATAATGGAATGATAAGTAATAAAACGTGGATGTAGTTGATATGACAAAGGCTTAATTTTGAAAATATACATTACGTTCAAAAATTTAGGATTGGACTAAACTTTGACTTACACTACACGTATACATGGGAAAGAAAGATTAGAAATATAACGAAAACAAAGGAAAAGGAAAACCATTCGGTGTGTATTAAATTATGTGATTTTCTATAACTAGCTTGAACCCGACCATTTGGCCGGATGAATTTCAATGGTCTATGAAATATTTCAACCTTCTAAATTTTTATGTTTTTATTACCCATTATTTAAAATGTGTTATTTTGTACATTTGATGTATGAAGTACGATCTTTTGATTTTAATATACACATGTTAGTTCTGATTCTATTATAGAATTCTACTAAACAAATTCTAAACACTCAACCATTAACTTTTAGTATTTCATGTAAGTAACATATACTTCGGTTGAATATTCGTCTTACGAATATCCCAAAAAATTTTCAATCCAAGTGCTTCATTGTTGCATAAAAGGTTTCTATCTCGTTAAATGACATTAAAGACACTCTTAATTAGGAATGGCAGTGGGTCGGGTTGGGTCGAGTTTTGCCAAACCCAAATTCAAACCCGCTGGGTATCCGTGGGTTTATGGGTAATCACGAGTTTTTGTCGTAAAAAATTTACAATAACATGTTCTTATCAAAATTAAAGTCAAACATCAATCTCTCAATACAAATTATCCATATATAAAACATCATTCTAGAAAATTCAAACAAATCACAAATTAACCATACAAATTGTTCAACGCCAATCTAGAAAACACAAGACAATTGAAGCAATTCACAAATTATCCATAAATCTCGGTTTTCCCCACCCCCGCAGGGAAGGATCACGACCACGTGGAGTTTTTTTGGCAGGGAAATTCATTATGATTGGTTGAATGAGGTGCTCACGTGGAGGCACTAAGTGAAGAGAGAATTTGAAATGGAGAAGCCTTTTTGGATAACTGTATAATAGATTCTTTAGAAGATTTAGATTCTACTTTTTTCTGTTGTATATAAAATATAACTTTTTTACTTTTCTTTTATTCTTCTTCCTTTGACTGCTTCTCTCTTACTATTCACTTCTGCACATCAGTTCCAGATTAGGGATTTGCAACCCATCTCTTTCAATCAATCCATGCCAGATTTACAATCTTCTCAGCTTTAGGGTTGATTTGTTCTTTTCCTCTCTGGACGATCTAGTTTAATTGCTACGGTTAGGATTTGGGTTTTAATTTTCAATCTTTTCAAAAGCCCACTTAAAGCTACAACGTAAAGGCGCAGAGGAGGAAATCGACGTAGGGGAGATGGAGCAAAGTGGCAAGGAGAGAAAGTTCAAAACTTCATGACAACGTGGTTCGATTGCTACAGATGAACTACATGGAGAAGTTTCTCCCTATTTTTCCTGTCCCTCTTCAACCGGTTTGTTCACGGTGCTTGCTGTAACTTCAAGGTCGAGCACATAACAATTTCGAATGGAAAATGGAAACTACACAAGACACAAAACTGCCACAATCTTCAAGAAATACAAAACTAGTTCCAAAACCAATAAAGTACACGTCCATCCAATAATGCATTGATCCCCTCATCAGTCATCATTGTACCATCAATTTGAGTCACAACATATTTTGTTTGTGCAGAGAAAATGGGTGTAAACCAAAACGTTAATGCATTAAAATATTGTATGACAACTCTTTTCCGCGAAGATCATATGCACCCAACAATACGCCAAAATGTCACACAACTGCCAAAGAAGTTAATACAAACGGTGTCTTCTTATGATGGTAATGGCTACCAGCATGAAAGCACAACTCCGTTGCATCAAAACAGCTACTCACTGTGGCAAAATCATAAAAGGCAAAGTAGAAGAAAATGCATGGAATATATGACCATCCTATCACTTACATTGAGCTGGTACTACAACAGCTTTGATCAATGATACGCCAGTGCATCCAAGCTATTCTCCCGTACACCCATTTTCAGATATTGCCTTCCTCGTCGCTACCGGTGGCGGAGTTTCAGTCATAACATACAAAACACATGTCCTCCCAAATTGGGAAATCAATTAAATCAGAAGGGCAGATTACTTAATCACCAAAGAAGCTATTTAAGATCTTTCTATATGGTAGCTTCTGAGTAAGATTCCAGCTCTCCCATACTTCTCTTGTGCTTGTGTTTATGGCTGCCTAGAAAAAACCATTTCACTTATCTGGTTTTTAAAGCAGCCTCAACATCAATGAATTGGAAATGATGATCTGACTTGGTTTCTTAGCAGCTGCCAAGTACGTTTCATCACCAAAAACGCCTATCTCAACGCAATCCTTACAGTTTTAGGAGTTGAGATCATTGACTCCTGCTGTAGTGTGATATTTCAGCGTCAGGGTGTCAGATGAGTGGGAGGGGCAACTCCAGAGGCGCTAAGTTCGCAATTGTAGTAATGGTACTTGCAACATCTCTCCATCATTGGGGTTCTGCTATTCCTTGTTTGACACAAAAGAAACAGAGGGGTAGGGAAGGCAAAGACAGAAGCAGAAGGAGGTATTCAGTCGTCGAGATATCAATGGAAGAGGAGACACAGAGCATAACCAACTGAGACTAAGCAAAATAGGGGCTAAAATCCAGCAGCCAGCTTTCAGATTTCAATGGTAGAAGAAGAAACTGAACATAACCCTCGTCATTGAACAGAAAACCCAACTCAAATCTTAACTCTTGAGATTCACGGAGGGAATTTGACGGATGAGTGAAAGATGTAAGGCCTTTATGTGGCCCTGGAGCAACCTGAAATCATGATAATACAGAAGCGGCAGCATTAAAAAAAGTACAGAAGCAGAATTACAGCATGAGAAGAAAAAAGCGCAGCTGCGGCAGCAGAAAAACAAAGGAAGCTAGGAAAAGAAGGGTTCTGACTAAGGTCACCAACAAAATGGTATAACTACATAAGGGCCAAATAGCAGCCAGGAGCATCAGAATTGCAGCACCACTAATACGTAAACATACACAAAAGAAACAGTAGAGGGCAGCAAGGGAGAATTGTTTATGTGGAACCGAGTTAAGAGTAGCAGGACTGCAGATGAATCAAAACAGGCCTAGGAGGTTTGCTGCAGGGCACTCTTAGACAATTCCATGAAAACCCGTGACATAGAAATATAGTATGAAAGCAATGTATTCAATGCCAACAAAAAAGGAAGTTTGACACAAATTGGTACAAAATTTTACAGATTCAAGTGTTTTGACTCATCTGCGGTCCTTGACCTAAGCATGGAGGAAGTAAAGAAGCAAGTACAAAGCTAAGATTAACAAAAATGACCCGACTAATCCACCAAAAACATTTGCAATGACTGATTAACGACAAAGAAAATGGTCATAACAGATTCCAACGTTCTTTCGAGCTTATGCAGTTCCAGGATGTTCAGACCATTGAACCTGGAGTGGCAGGCGATTCGTAGTTGATGATATTCTTTCTGCGATCGGAGACAGTACGAAATTATGAGTAAGATGGGTAAGGACATTCCTAGCAAAGAGATTAAACATACTGGGTACTTGGCATACACACATGATAACAAAACAACTAACACACAAATGAGATCAATTTCATGGATTGCAATCCCATTGAGATTGAATATAAGGAATTAATTAGCAGAACCATAAAATAATCTGAGCTTTGCATCCTTAGGAAGTACAAAGATGTTTACAGCTCAACCATGGAAGCTTGCAGAGATGTTGTCTTTCCTCCAGGACCAAGAGGACTCACAACAGCAGTCCCATTAATAGTTCATGAAAAGATGTAACAAATGTTTTGTTATTTGAATTATTTCGTTGAGTGAAAGAAGATGAACGGCAGGTAGCCCAATGATACCAGCAGCTGTAGATGAACATCAAAATGTCATAATGAAGCTCACGTCTTGTTGCTTCTGAAAGGGCCTCCTGGTTCTTTCCTAATAGTTGCTTCCTCTCTGCATGTACAGGACTGGGTGAAGGTGGAGGATCACACTACTTATGAAGCCATAGTAGCTGGCAACAGATGTCGGCTTCTGTCAACTAGGTTTTGTGGAGTCTATTAGGTTGTTCAATTCCACCCTTGCCATAGTTGCCGCTATGATTCTAATATATGCACTCTGCAATTCTATCTGCAAGTTGGTTCCTACTGTTTTGCTCCTTAATCATGCTCTATCTGTTTATGTTTCCATTGTCACAAATTTTACCACCTTATGCATTCTTTTTGTGTTTCGTTGAAGAGGGTATGCAGGGAAAGGGAAAGTCCAATCTAGGATTCAATCTTAAAACCTTCGGATTGAACCAAACCTTTGCACGCCAACTTATACTTCCTGTTTCTATGCCTAAATAAGGGCAAAGTTCAGATTTGATAACCGAGAACCATAGTTCTATTAGCATAATTTTATACCAAGGCAAAGAAAAAACTGATATTATAATAATAATGCAAAAGCAACAATTTGTTCAATTATCATAACCAATCAAAACAATAGTTGAGATAAGTAGTATCACTCAAAATAACATCTAAAATAAAAATAGTTACTTAACATTAATATAAGTAGACATAACAGAAAAAATAGATTATTTTTTCAATTTGTAGCATGAGATTGTACATGCTGCCTCTCAACTTCTCGTACCTTGGATGTTTTCCTTTTTCTTATACGTCGTACCTTGGAACTGGAGCAGCCCAACAAGAGACCCTTGGCAGGAACACCATGACAAGAAACTTCTCTGTACTTTGGAATAGGATCACTACTGCTCTTGTGCATGGCTCGCAACTTCTCGAAATTCGGAATTGGAGTAGCCCAACAAGAAACCCTTGGGCGGACCACCAGAGAGTACAGGACATCTTCTGACCCTTCTGGTTTGGCGAACAACTCAACCACTTCCTTCCTCAAATCGCTGCACAATACAACATTTGCATCACGGATTCCGTAGAAGTAGACAATTTCCGGCTTCTGTGGATGCAGAAACGGTGTACCAAAGGCCTTGGGTTCATAGTTACAACACTTTGACGTACTGCTCACCAGCCCCTCGCATTGTTTTCTCCAAGATTTATGGTCTTCTTCCAACCTCCAAATGCTCGAGCGAAAAGGAGGAGCCTCGTTTTCTCGCGCTATTACGTGCAGAGCGTCCTGAGAGACTGCAAGAGACCAGCCCGGTTTCGCAACAAACTCAGAGACATCAATGGAAGCGGGAGGCATATCAAGCCGGAACGGATTAAACACATCAACGAATTCATCCTTCTTGCCAGGGAATTCTTTATACTTCCAAAACAACTCCCCCTTGCAAGAAACTACATTTTTGGTCCCCCATTTCATATGACCATCGCGGACAAGAGCATCCTTAATCCATTCTCCAGACTCCGAACAAAACACATCTAGTCTTATCGATGCCGGCGTGAGCCGTTGATACATACAAACCACCCGGAACCTACTATTCCCAGATGTTTGGGATTCGCAAACTAACCTTGTGACCGGAAATAAATACTCAATCAACTTCCTGGGCGCCAAAGGAAGACCATGCCACTGCTTCGTGAACGGATTGCAGACGAGGTACGATCTGCTGTATTCCCCATCGTCGCAAGCTTTATCCCAAAACCCGCACAGAACCAGGTCCTTGTCGCAGTGCAAAACTCTGAGCGCGTCTCGGTCTTTAACCCCATTAGGCATCGGAGGCAGGAAGCTGAGGACGACGGATTTGAGATCGCCCGGAGTCATGATCTGGCGGTGAGAAACGAAACGGCGGTTGAAGGAGGCATCGGAGATGACGGACCTCCACAGCTGGCAGACGATTTTGCAGCGGCAGGCGGATCTAGGGTCCGGGAGGCGAATCAGAATCTCTACGAGGAGATCAGGGCCGAGCTTGCGGATCAGAAGATTTGCATCTGAACCGATTCGTTCTCGTTTTCGGGAACCGACAAGGAGTTGTTCGCTCAGCGGCGGATCCCGATCCAAGGAGCTGCAGCTCTCGGTCGTCATGGCGTAGACAGACGAAGGGAAGTAGCGCACGCCGGGATGGAGGAGGAAGGATTCGGCGGTGGTAGGCGGAGATTGGGATTGCAGCGGCCAAGACAGCCCGGAAAGCGCGATGAGATCTAAAATCCGCTTCTCCTTATTGTTTTTTTTTTCCTATGTCAATGCACTACTCCTTCTCCTTTGCGGCTCGGGATTTTAGTGGGTAAGCTTTTTTCACTTTTGTTTGGGCCAGGGCCGACTTGTATTGAATTGGCCCAACCCATTACCCATCTTCTTCCAAGTTGTGATGGATGTTGGATTTGACGCAAAATTATGTACAGTTTGAGTTGCTTAAAAAACTTCAGCAAATGAGACACTTTCACCCGACTGGATTAACAGCTTAAATTTTGTCTTACTTGAGCTAAGAGTAGGGGCGTCAGTTCGGGTCGGCTTCGGTTACCCAAACCGAAACCCGAAAAAATCCGAAATCGAAAATCACTAAAATCGAACTCGAACCCGATAAGGACTTGCGAGTTCCGATTACCCGAAACCCGAAAATTCCTTATCGGGTCAGTTTCGGGTAAACCCGAAAAACCGAACCCAAATTGACACCCCTAGCTAAGAGGCCTACCTTGTCTTACAATCGTTTCTTAAAAGCTCCCTAACGTAAACTAGTTCCAACTTTCAGTCGGCATTTGCCAAGGGAAGGTGAACGAGACTATGATTTGTCGTCGGAGGAGGAAGAAGTAGAGGCCGGTGAACCGACTGACGCTATGTTTCTGAGTCGTGGGTTGGCCGCTCCGAGTTGGGTTGGACCTCTCACGCCGAAAAGAGGTTAGGATATGCTCGAACAAAGTGAGAGGGAAAAGGACAATCAGCTGTAAGGGATTGAAAGCGCGTAGTCCCTCGATTCAGGGATCGATAGCGTCTTCCCTCCCTTCACCCTTCTCCTTAACACCGAGGTATTCACTCATCTCACTTCGTTCCTAACCCCTACGCACACCTACTCGCATCTCGCTTCTGTCATTGATAATGCACTTATAAGAGCTAAAAAGAAAGTCTTTTAAGACATGTTAATTAGCCCGTGAAAGGTATCTATGAGAGTGGTGAAGGGAGGAAGTAGCTCGACCTTCCGAAAATTTTCTCAGGCTCTACCCTCGTTGCACCAAAAGACGTCGTTAAAGTAATCTGAGGAGCATGCCATCTGCTAGGATCTTTGGAATGCTGTATATCAAGGGACTTCCTTTGGGAAAAAACTACCTCTGATTTTCAATAAATAAGAAGAACGTATCTAATCCCTTTTTTTGCAAACTAGTAGGCTCTAACAGCTTCCGCTTCTTAACAACTCTTAATTCAGGTAATTTATCATGGGGCGCGGGTCAGGGCAGGTCGACCCAATGGGTATGTAATTTATGTGAAAATGTTAAAAATATTCATTATTTTCATTAAAAGACCAAGAAATAAATCTTAATATGATAAAATGTAGTTAAATTATTGAAAAAATTGAGATTTCCACTTATTTACAACTTCATTATAGCTAAAAATATGAGATAATAAGAGGAAAATCCTAAGTAATTTGACTAAGATTATATGTAATTTAGGCGAGAATGGGGCGGGTCAGGGCAGGTCGGGTCGATGAGAGGTACCCATGACAGCCCCGCCCCAAAACAGGCTAAACAGATCGCAAAATGGGTCAGGTCGAAATTGTCATCCCTAATGCATTGGATTGGTTCGTTGATAATGAGCTTTAGATATTCATATGAGTGATATCTTTCATTAATCTTGTTCACTAATATTGATTGAGTAATTAGACCCTCGAGAACTTAGCTAGTGTGGGGATTTCATGACATGACTACTAATGATACTTTATCTCTATGAAAAAATCACATATTTGATAAATAAGCACATAAGAAATAAATATGTTTTAAATCAATGAAAGGGAGAGGCAATTGCATATCAAGAACATGTACTTAAGGTGTAGTTGTAGTACTATATTACCAATCTATATATTTATAGTTATGTATTACATTTAACTTTCTAATAACTAATAATTATATAAAAATGTTAGTTATAGAGACACTCAGTAACCAAAGAACCAAAAAAAAAAAAAATAGCAGTAGCGACAACTGTAATGTTCCTCCTTATAGTTTTGATAAATCGCTATTTATACATGTTTTTTCCACTATTCTTGAACCATTTGAGAGTCGATTCTCGCATTTTAACCCGATTTCACGCTAGGTTGTAATTTTATGTCATGTTTTCTGTCCTAGAGTGGATAGGGAGGCTTGGAAGCGAATTTCGGGCCAAAAGCACTAAGGAGACGGAAGGAGGGCCGCAAGGACCAAATTCCCCTGTCTAGCCAAAATACCCGACTGGGGAAAAGCCATAGGGATCGGAGAACTCATCCAGTTATTTCCCCCGGTCTGGACCCCCGATTTCCCAACCGAGGAATTTGTGTATGAGGCCGAAATTCGGAATTGGATCACTGCTCTTGTGCATGGCTCGCAACTTCTCCAAATTCGGAATTGGAGCATCCCAACAAGAAACCCTTGGCTGGAGCCTGGAAGACCAGAAAGTGCCTTAGCGATCCTTTTGGTTTAGTGAAGAACTCTAACTCTTGCTTTCTCAAATCGCTGAACAATACAACATTGTTGTTACCTTCACCTCTTCCAGCCCCACTAAAGAAGATCTGGAAGGCCTCGAACGAATGACACGAAGTTAGTACAAAAACTGTTTTTTGGGCAGTTTGCTTGTGCAAAAAGACAGCTTACTTGTGCTTGAAGGCAGAGTGTTTGTCGCCGAATTTTGTAACATTTTTAGAATAGAATTTTACCTTATTTGTTTCCTTGTTCATTTAGGTTTGTATTAGGTTTTCTTGGCTATAAATAGCCTTCTATTTTCGTTGTAAAAATTTAGACTTTGATTAATCAAAAAGAAACCTTTAGGTTTTGTGCAAGTTGCGTACTTGTGAGAGCTTTGGTGGATTCCAAGCTCGAGTTTAGCTCTGTATCGATCAAAACCACATTGATCGTGGGCGGGCATCTACCTTTATATCATTCGAGCCTTCTTTCATGTGAAAGATTGCACGTTTGATTCCTTTTTATCCAAAAATCCAAGAACTTCGTTGTTTTTGGTTCGAAATTCCGTTTAATCAATTCAATCTTAGAATTGATTAGTTGCTTCTGATCACAAAATAGTAATACCCCTCTGGTGCTTTATCACTTAACTAGTAAGAAGAAACTAATATCAAACGTACAAATTGAAACTATTGCTTGATGTATATATGAAGAGCCCTTCATCACCATTACATAAACGATTATATAAACGATTTCTTGGCATTAGGTCAACTTCAGTAATGGAAAGCATCATGTAATAACACCACTAATAGTTCATTAGTTAGATTCATGGTGTCTATATTCTCCGTGTTCTACTGCTTTCACCCACTTTGCTTCTGTCCTGCAGGAATTCCTTGAAAAGAAAAGTTGAGCCAAGATTCAATATTTTCAAATATCATTAATGGCTCTTGCAAGTAGCTGGCATTTACTTATTTAGAGACCCATGTTCTCTCCTTCTGTATATGAACAAACATGAAAATAACCAACAATTGGTTTGTTCTCTCCAGATATGAAAAATCTTGAACCTAGTCTGGATCTCTATCTAACCTTGACCACCAAGAAAGAGCGTCATATGAACTATGTCATTGAATGGGGAACTGTTTTTAGAAGGTCACGAGGAAGAAAATTCGCCATTACTTTCATTCCCAGTTCCAAAAGATGGGAGCGGTTCCAAATCGAGCACCGACTGTTGGTACCAACTCTTTAAGATCTCATGAGCACTATGTACTGCAGGTAAATTCCTGCATGTGTAAGGCTGCATAAATATGCAACTGACTAGATTTGAGTAGTTATAATCAAAATGGACAGATAGATTAGACTCCCAAAAAAGTAAAAAGGCTCCAACTTCCTTCCTTTTGTTATGCCTAAACCAAATCCAGGCAAGACGCAAGACTTTAGTAAAGCTTCTTTATGGCTAATCATTTATAACGAAAACAATCTTTTCGGAAATGTTTCTTTTCTGATCACATAGATTAACTACGAAACCCGGCAGAGCAATTTGCAGATGCAAGCTTTTGCTGCTCTCTGAGAGCAATTTTCATTCATATATATAGAACTTAACTTACAGTACGTAAACATCTCTGTTTCCAATCCCCTTCCCGAAATCAATGTTGACCATCCCACTAAACGGCTTTAACTTGACCGTTTCTCCTCATTAAGTATAAGATCACGAAATTGATTAAGCCTTGTAGCAGTAGCGCAGAAACGACTCTCTACCCTACTTAAAAAAAAACTTCATAAACATACACAAAAGAAACAGTAGAGGGCAGCTAGGGAAAATTGTTTATGTGAAATCAAGTTAAGAGTAGCATGACTGCAGATGAGTGATTGCACAGGACGACGAGGTTTGTTGTGGAAGTTCGCTGCAGGGCACTCTTTGAAAGTCCACTCTACTCTAGGATTCAATCATAAAACCTTTGGATTGAACCAAACCTTTGTAAGCCAACTTATGCTTCCTTTTTTTATGCCTAACCAAAGGGCAAAGTCAAGACTTGAGGACCGAGAACCATAATTTTCTAAGGCGGTAAAGAATAAACTGAGATGATATTAATACACAAGCAACAATTTATTCAATTATCATAAGTCATAACCACACAAAACGATAGATAGTCGAGATAAGTAGTACCACTCAAAGTAGCATCTAAAAATAAAAATAGTTACTTTAACATAAATAAGCAGACATATGACAGAAAAAATAGTTTCTTTTTCAATTTGTAACAAGTGATTCACTAATCCAATTGTTCATGCTGCCTTGCAATTTCTCGCACCTTGGATGTCTTCTTTTTTCTGGTATATCGTACCTTTACCTTGGAACTGGAGCAGCCCAACAAGACACCATTACTTGCAGCAACTTCTCTGTACCTTGGAATTGGATCACTGCTCTTGTGCATGGCTCGCAACTTCTCCACATTCGGAATTGGACCATCCCAACAAGAAACCCTTGGCTGGAAGACCAGAAAGTGCCTTAGCGATCCTTTTGGTTTAGCGAAGAACTCTAACTCTTGCTTTCTCAAATCGCTGAACAATACAACATTGTTGTTACCTTCACCTCTTCCAGCCCCACTAAAGAAGACAATTTCCGGCTTCTGTGGATGCAGAAAGGGCTCGTTGTAGCCCTTCTTCAATTCATAGCTACAACACTTTGATGTACTGTACAGCAATCCCTCGCATTGTTTTCTCCAAGATTTACGGTCTTCTTCCAGCCTCCAGACGCTCGAGCGAGAAGGTGGAGCCTCGTCTTCCCGCGCTATAAAGTGCAAAGCGTCCTGAGAGACTGCAAGTGCAAGAAACCAGCCCGGTTTCACAACAAACTCAGAAACATCAATGGAGGTGTGAGGCGTATCATCAAGCCGGAAGGGATTGAACGCATCAACCAATAGAGTAACCGTGTCAGGGTTTTTTCGATAAATCCAAAACAACTCCCCCTTGCACGAAACTATAGGTTTTATAGTCCACCTGACATGACCATCGCAGACAAGAGCATCCTTGGTCCATTCTCCAGACTCGGAACAAAACACGTCTAGTCTGATAGAATCCTGGAGAGCTTGATATATACACACCACCCGGAACCTATTCCGGGATGTTTGCGGCTCACAAACTAGCTTTGTGACCGGAGCTACATACCTTATCAACTTCCTGGGCGCTGGGGGGAGATCATAACACTGCTTCGTAAACGGATTGCAGACCAGGTACGATCTGGTCTGTGCCCTGTCCTTGAAATCTGTATCCCGAAACCCGCACAAAACCAGGTCCTTGTCGCAATCCAAAACTTGGAGAGCGCCTCGGTCTTTAACTCCATAACAATGATGAAAGTGGGGAGGGAGAAAGCAGAGTACCATGGATTTGAGATCGTCCGAGGTCATCATCTGGCGGTGAGAAACGAAGCGGCGGTTGAAGGAGGCATCGGACATGACGGAGAACCACAGCTGGCAGACGGGTTTGCAGCGGAAGGCGGATCTAGCGTCGGGGAGGCGAATCAGAATCTCTACGAGGAGATCGTCCCCGAGCTTTCGGATCAGAGGATTTGCCTCTAAATCGATTCGTTCCCGTTTTCTGGAACCGCCGAGGAGTTGTTCGCTGCTCTCGGTCGCCATGGCATCGACAGGACGGATTGAAGGGATATATAGCGCACGCCGGGATGGAGGAGAAAGGATTCGGCGGTGGGAGGCGGAGATTGGAATTGCAGCGGCGAAGAGGTCAGAAATCCTCTTTTTTTTTTTTTTTTATGTCAAAACCAACTACTCCTTCTCCTTTGCGGCAGCTGATAGGGGTCAGTTTTTTTTTTTTTTTTTTATACTTTTGTTTGGGCCAGGGCCGACTTTATTGAATTGGCCCAACCCATTTTCTTCCTTCGAGCAGATCGAGCTGGGCTGGTTTGATTGCTTGCGCAGGAAGGCAGAAGCTTGGGTGTAAAGCAATCGAGTTTTGTTACATTTGTTGGTTTGGATTCTGTTTCCTTGTTGAGTTAGAGTTAGGTTCGTTTTCCTTGTTTGTTTAGAGTTCGATTTAGGTTGTCAATTGTCTAATTAAAGGCTTGGAAGCCTCGTGTAAAAGGTAGAGTAGATTGAATAGGAAAATTGTGACTTTGTCACCAAAACCTTGTGTGTTGGTCGAGTTCCAGCGACAAGCTTGCTTCGTATCGATTGAAACCTCATCAATCGTGGCAAAGCTTGCAGAGATGTTGTCTTTCCTCTAGGACCAAGAGGACTCACAACACGGCAGTCTCATTGATAGTTCACCATGAAAAGATGCAACAGATATTTGGTTACAGAAATTACTTCCTCGAGCTAAAGAAGATGAACGGCGGCAGGTAGCTCAATGATAACAGCAGCTGTAGAAGAACATCAAAATGTCATAATGAAGCTCTCATCGCTGTCTCTCGTTGTTTCTTAAAGGGCCTCCTGGTTCTTTGCCCTATCTGTTCATGTCTCTGCTGTCACAATTTTACCACCTTAGCATTCTTTTTGTGTTTCGATGAAGAAAGTCCACTCTAGGATTCAATCTTAAAACCTTTGGATTGAACCAAACCTTTGTACGCCAACTTATGCTTCCTTCTTTTTTTTATGCCTAACCAAGGGCAACGAAAGACCCTTGGCAGGAACACCATGCCTAGAAACTTCTCTGTACTTTGGAACAGGATCACTACTGCTCTTGTGCATGGCTCGCAACTTCTCGAAATTCGGAATAGGAGTAGCCCAACGAGAGAACACCAGAGAGTAAAGGACATCTTCTGACCCTTCTGGTTTGGCGAACAACTCAACCACTTCCTTCCTCAAATCGCTGCACAATACAACATTTGCATCACGGATTCCGCAGAAGTAGACAATTTCCGGCTTCTGTGGATGCAGAAAGGGTGTACCAAAGGCCTGTGGTTCATAGTTACAACACTTTGACGACGTACTGCTCACCAGCCCCTCCCATTGTTTTCTCCAAGATTTACGGTCTTCTTCCAACCTCCAAACGCTCGAGCGAAAAGGAGGAGCCTCGTTTTCTCGCGCTATTACGTGCAGAGCGTCCTGAGAGACTGCAAGAGACCAGCCCGGTTTCGCAACAAACTCAGAGACATCAATGGAAGCGGGAGGCATATCAAGCCGGAACGGATTGAACACATCGACGAATTCGCCCTTCCTGCCAGGAAATAAATACTCAATCAACTTCTTGGGCGCCAAAGGAAGACCATGCCACTGCTTCGTGAACGGATTGCAGACGAGGTACGATCTGCTGTGTTCCCCATTGTCGCAAGCTTTATCCCAAAACCCGCACAGAACCAGGTCCTTGTCGCAGTGCAAAACTCTGAGCGCGTCTCGGTCTTTAACCCCATTAGGCATCGGAGCGAGGAAGCTGAGGACGACGGATTTGAGATCGCCCGGAGTCATGATCTGGCGGTGAGAAACGAAACGGCGGTTGAAGGAGGCATCGGAGATGACGGACCTCCACAGCTGGCAGACGATTTTGCAGCGGCAGGCGGATCTAGGGTCCGGGAGGCGAATCAGAATCTCTACGAGGAGATCGGGCCCGAGCTTCCGGATCAGAGGATTTGGGTCTGAACCGATTCGTTCTCGTTTTCGGGAATCGCCACCAAGGAGTTGTTCGCTCAGCGGTGGATCCCGATCCAAGGCGCTGCATCTCTCGGTTGACATGGCGCAGAGAGACGGATTGAAGGCGGAGTTTGGGATTGCAACATGGAAACAAACAGCACGGAGCTCGAAGAGTTCTGCTTTTACCCTTTTTATGTCGAAATGCATTACTCCTTCTCCTTTACGGCGGCTGCTATGGTTTGGTAGTTATTTTTTTTTATTTTTTTTATTTTATGGTCACGGTTAAGGTTGCACCTGCGGGTCGACCCATCGGTTGATCAGTTTTGACCATGACCTGATAAGAAAAACGAACCACACACATCCGCGGGTAGTGGTCTCCACCTTCCAACCTGCAAGAAGTGTATCGATTTTCTCGATCAAATCAATATATGTAGCTTTGGATACCCTGTCATGAATAACTGGAACGCGGCCGATATTTTCTCTTTCAGGGATCTCCAACGCAGCACAGATCGTCGCACTCTTGGCATCTAGTGATCTACCCGTTGCAGAACTCATGTTTTGGATTTGTAGTGTTGATGTCTAGTGACTTTGTCTTGATTGGTTGTATATGATCTTTGGGGGTTAAAAGTCTGTTCCTTTCAGCAGCTGAACTCATGTTTTTTATTTTGGCGGAAATAAACTTATTCATTCATGAAGAATCAAGATTAGTATAAACAATTTAACAACAGATAACAAATAACCTATACATCATCAAACCCTCTGCATGTGAACATAACCTTGTCAATGATTGACAGATTGAGGATCTAATTCCATCCTGTTTGCAGTGTGTTGGAAGTGCAGCGTATTATATCGTCGGACATGGCTTTCCTTCTTGCAAGCATCTGCCAGTGTGTTGCCTTCAGACTTTGGCATTGAGTTTCTCAACGAGCACCTTGTTCAAGATCCCCGGGTTGGCCTTGCCTTTTGATGCTTTCATTACCTGCTCAGTGAAAGACACATGAAATGACATTTCTGAGCCATGAACAGAGAGGGTGGTGGTGCCTGATAACAGTAAACACAAGCACACTTCAATTCGTTACCTGGCCGGCAAAATAACCTTGTAGCTTTGTCTTCCCGGATCTGTACTGTTCCAACTGCTTCGGGTTCTCAGCAATCACCTTATCGACCATCTTCTCAATATCACCAAGATCTGTTATCTGCATTGTTTTCCCCAAAAGACGCGAATAACTGACTGAACCAAGAGCTCCACCCACCCACTCTATGCAAGAAACTTCGTGAAAAACAATAACTTGCCTGGACAAGGTCCTTTTCTTCAATCAGTCCCTTCACAGTTCCACCTTTGGCCAAGAGTTCGAACAGTATCTGTAAACGGTTTGAAAGCAAAACAGAAGACATCAGTTAGAACTGATCAAAAGCATTGTAGAGTGAACCAAGACTAGTTTTTACCTCCTTTCCGATCTTCCCGCTAATAGTCCCGCTTTTAATAGAAGCTATCAGCTCAGCCAGCTCATGGGGCACAAGTTTGATATCAATTATCGACAACTTCTCATTCTTCAGGTAGGCAGCAATATCACCCATGATCCAGTTTGCAGCTAGCTTCACATCGGCACCCTTCTGAATTGTCGCATCGAAAAAGTCTGCCACCTGATTCAAGGGGGAACAAGCAATGTCTTGGATGAAATGATATGATCCCTAGGAAAACAAACACCATGCATATTGGAGAGAACCCAGACTCATAGATTTGAAACCAGGACTTACTGCTATGTCATTTGCAAGGAAAAGAACATCTTGCATGCTCAATCCCATCTCCTCGTACCTCCTACGTTTTGCTTCTGGAAGCTCAGGCAAGGATTTACCAACACTATCCATATAAGCTTTTGTAAGAACGACTTCAGGAAGATCTGGTTCGGGGAAATATCGGTAATCAGCTAGCCCTTCCTTTTTCCTCATAGTAACTGTTTTCTGAACAAGAAATGGTATTGGATCAGTTGCAGTTGTATTTTCAAAGAAAACCATCCACTTTCCCTCTTTTGTTGATATAATAATGAGATCAACAGTAAAGATACCACCTGTGCACCTTCTTCCCATAGCCGAGTTTCCTGTACAATTGAGTCTTGTTGCCCTTGACTATGTAGATTGACCTGCCTTGATATCTCAAAGTCAATAGCTCTGTTAATTGCTGAAAAGGAGTTCAAGTTTTTTATCTCAACCTGCAAATAAAAGGTGAAGCAAAGTATATCAGGGAGGCCATGGAGCAAATACTGTCATCAAACACAAACTTTTGAGAATGCCAAAAACCAAATCATCAACCTTTAACAAGAATAAGTTGGCTCAATCCTAATATTGATAGGTGGATGAAAACTATGCAGCTTATATAAATAACTGTGACTGGAAACAGGCTTCTTGCGAGAGAAACAAAATACCTTTGTCCCAAATTCTGCCTGTCCAATCGGTCGAACAGAGACATTCACGTCACAGCGCAACGAACCTTCTTGCATATTACCATTACTGACTCCCAAATACCGAACAACCCTTTGAAGTTCTGCAGCATACTCAGAAGCTTCAATGCCAGTTCTCATATCTGGTTCTGAGACGATCTCTAACAATGGGACTCCAGCTCTATTCAAATCAACCTGTGAAGGGTGATTGCTCATTTGTTGAGGAAAGAAGATAGTGTTAACAATGAATAAACAATCCCCCAAAAATTATAACCACTTATTATTAACAAAATTTATCAAGAAACAGGTGTGTAGATCGAAGAAGCAAACACAAACAGAAGCGAGAAGCTGGGAAACAAATGCGAAAGAACATGGCAAAAACACAAATACCTGCGAGTAACTCCCATTTCCTGAATGCATTAGCTTGCCAGCATCCTCTTCCATGTGAATTCTTGTGATACCAAACCTCCTATGACCACCACCAAATTCAAGTGGAAGATCCAGGTCAATAGATCCACCAGTTGCAATTGGGATATCAAACTGAGATATTTGGTAGCCCTTTGGAAGGTCTGGGTAGAAGTACTGCTTCCTGTCAAATTTGGAACTGAAAGAGAGCCTGCAATTCAGTGCAAGGGCTAGTTTCACAGCACACTCGATGACTTTGGAATTCAGAACTGGCAAAGCACCCGGAAGACCCATGCAAACTGGGCAGATACAGGTGTTTGGTTGGGCACCATAACTGTAAGGGCAACTACAGAAAGCCTTGGTTAATGTAGAAAGCTGGACATGGGTTTCTATGCCAATGACTGCCTCATAATCTGCTCCAATTTTACTAACTTCCTTCATCTGCTTCTGAGGAGGAACTTTGATTTTTTGTGGACTCTTCTGCTGCTGCTTTTCTTCTGTGGCTGTCTGAGTATGTGAATGTGAGGTGCTCTTCATTGTGCAATACAAAACCCCATTCTTCCTTCTAAGCAAAGCAGATGAATTCAGAAACAAAGGCTGAGCTTGGATTACGTTCCTGAACAATGTGGAAGCCATGTTTACAAAGTCAATCACCCTCCACCTTAGATAACACGTAATTCTCTATCTGCACCTGCAAATTCATTGATTAAGAGATAAGCAAGCCAACGATTTTCAGAACAACAAACCATACCCCGGTGGCAGAATTGAACAACTTGAGACTTGCAATTGGAACCAAACATAGATGTCTGCAGCAGTTCAAGCCTGAAGGTTCAAACAATGACCCATTTGCACCATCGGCAGATTAAAATCAAATGCTAACTCACATACAGTGAGGCTCAAAAGTCAAAACACCTAGTTATGAAACACAAGAACACGGAGGAAAAAGTTCCAAACTTTTCAAACCAAACCAGGTTTTACCGCCGAGAAGACCGACCTGACAAGATGAAGTAGCCAAGTAGGGCAGGAACAACAGCTGTCACCGTCCTCCGCATAAGATAAAGGCCGGCCGGAGCCCGGAAGTTAGTTTCGCCGAAGTCCAGTTTATATACACGAATGGCTGAGTTTACTATTTCTGCTCTAAAATTTGAAAAGAAGAGAAATCTTCTTACGCTTCCCTTCTCCTTCTTCTTCGTTTCTGTCAAGTGGGAGTGGACGGGAAGGGATGGAGAGGCCGGAGATGAAGAAGTCGGCGACGCCGATGGTAGAGGCCGGAGGAACTACGGCCACTCGAAAGGATGGAGGTGATTACGTCTGGTTTCGATCGGAGGTCGGATTGGATATGGTGGGAAAACAGTCTTGGGCTGGGCCGCATTTAAGGCAGCTCGAGAGGCCCAACAAAATTGAAAGTGGGCTGCCATGAAAAAGCTCTAAAAGGTGGGAGGGAGAGAAGATATGCCGCCAATCTGAATACAATTTTTTTTTTTTTACAAAAGATAATCAACTATTGATTGAAAAATAGACACGGTTACATCCTGGAGAACAGCCAGGTCTAGAAATTAAACGCGCGACACATAGACGGGGACAAAGAAAGGGCCTTTCTAGCCACCGCATGGGCTACCCTATTGTTTCTCCGACCTATAAATCGCAAACTAAACCCCGGCTGATGTCCCATACAATGCCTGATTTCGTCCAAAATCACTCCAACCCTACTATCATTAGTCTCAGCGTGATTGACTTTATCAATGATGATCTTGGCATCGCCTTCAAAACGCACATCCTGAAGCCCATTGGCCACACACCAAAGGAGAGCCTCTCGGAGGACAAGCGCCTCCACCACTAAAGGGTCATCAATAACCTCATACTGAACCCCTTGCGCTCGGAGGACCACCCTATGAGGATCAAGAAGCACAATTCCGCCCGCAGAGTGGGACCCAGCTCTCGTAGCCCCGTCCCACATACACACCAGCGAGGTCCCCCCCCCAGCACCCCTGGAGAAAGGCCATTAGGATTAGGGACCACCTCTGGTCTATCTGCCGGTACTTGGGCCCACTCCTCACACTGCTGATGAAACTGCCGCATCAAGGCCGGGAACCCAAATCTGAATACAATTAGGAGAAGGGAAAGAGGAAATGCTTCGGCCTTTCAAAAATTGTCAACATTTCAATTTTCAACAACTTATAGTCTGACGCTTATTACTGGACCTGATGATTAGAAAAGGGAGACGAGAAGATGAAAACTGAGGTACATATACTAAACAGAGGGTCCCGTTCGGAGACATTTCGCTAAAAACTGGATCGAATCGTAAAACGTAGAACTAAATGAGTAAGAAATACTTAAAATCGTAAAATTCGTAATGTTTGTTAAAATCAATAGATTTAGATGACTTCTCATTAAATTATCATGGATGAGTCTCCTTATACCAAATGGATAAGGATGACTTTTGCGCTTTTGCTATAAAATTTGTTATATCTAACACTCCAACCTTTTACATTATAGTAGAATAGTCAAAATCTTCAAAAAAATAATAATAGTAGAGTAGTCAAAAGAAACATTAATGGTATTACAAGAACGTAAATTTTACTATATCTTAATGAATAGAGATTGTGCTAAAATTCATATAAATTAAATGCACATAAAATCTGGATAATAATGGAGTTATTGTGTAGATTTCTTTTTATATTTATGAAATGAAGAAGCTTTATTATTTTTTGGTGAAGTGAAATTCTATTAAATAATTAACCAAATGGGATTATAACCACAAGACCTCAAAAGATTTGAACTCATTCATACTAAAGGCGTTGGGGTTGAAACAAGATCAACCATGCACAGTATGAAGACCATGATTTGGAGCTTTTCCGTTGTGGTCATAATCTTGTTCTTATTGATTACTCCATCATTTCAGTATCAAGGGGTGAATGTTGATCCTGTGTACAAGTGTTATGGAGATTGCATGGGACATTGTAATGATGGACCATGATTATGTGATGATATTTGTCTTAAAGAAATGTCGTCCTCCAAGTCCAAAGGAAAATTCAGACAATACTGTGGCAAACACAGTTCCAAGTCAAGCTTAGGATCGAACCAGAAGTAGTTTCTTAATTGGTCCCCAAATAATTATATGGTATGAATATGATATATGCGATAAGAATAAATATGCCCTCCACCAGAACACAAGTCCAACAACCATTACCCCGGCAAGTATAAGATACGCGCTGCCAATGTAGATAGTAGAGGTGGCAATTGGATCGGATTCGTGGATTCATGGATCAAATGGATTGGTGGATTCATGGATTGGATCAAATGGATTGGTGGATTGATCCATGAATCCAAATGACATTCAAAGCTTGGACCAAAATGTAAAATTTGAAAAGTTTTGGTACTAAAATGTCATAATGAAAAATTTTAGGTACCAAAATGTAATTTTCTAATGATATTTTTCGTATAAAAATATAGATTTTAGGTACCAAAATGTAAAATATAAAAAATATAGGTACCAAATCATAATTTGACATTTGGATCCATGGATTGATCCATTAATCCACCAATCCAATTGGATTTGGATCAAATGGATTGGATTTAAATGGATTGGATTAGGTGGATAATTTGGTGGATGGATTCGATTGGATTCATGGATTTGGATCCTAATTGCCACCTCTAGTAGAGAGGCAACCAAAACAAATGCACGAAACTGCATACATATATAACTGCTTGGACAATCTGGCCGACCACAACCCCGAAACTGACTCCTTGGGCTCGGACTTGGTACAGGAAGGACTCCGTCAAGTAAACCTACTTCATGGGTGCCCAACCCAAATTGGAAGCAGCCCATGATCCCACCAAAGTATTAGAGTATGTAGTACGAGTAGTATTGTGTTATACTACGAGTACTGTTATGTAATTGGTCAGAGTTTACATTTCTTATTAGAGTCGTAGAAGTTAGGTAATTTCCGTATTAGTGTTAGGGTTAGTATAGAAGTCAGTCTTTGTACTCCATATAAACCTTATTAGAGTATGTGTAGTACGAGTAGTATTGTGTTATACTACGAGTACTGTTATGTAATTGGTAGAGTTATATTCCTTCTAAGAGTCGTAGAAGTTAGGTAACATCCGTATTAGTGTTAGGATTATTATAGAAGTCGGTCTCTGTAATCTATAATAACCTTAACACTAATACAAACATTGTCTAACTTCTACGACTCTAATAAGGAATATAACTCTCTCAATTACATAACAGTACTCGTAGTATAACACAATACTACTTGTACTACACATACTCTAATGGTCAGTCTTTTTACTCTATATAAACCCTATGTGGTTCAAGTAATAATACACATGCAGTTTGCACCGAATTCTGATTTCCCAACACGAAGGCCACCAGGCTGAGACTTTGGCGCTGCTACAGTAGACTTGACGAGCGCCATTGTTGTGGATGCTGACCAACGGTAGCCCAAATGCGAGCAGAAATAAAATGGTGAGCAATACATTGCTGAGCAGCAGATGGAACCGGCTCCCGGCTTTGTCCACCACACGTCTGGAGATCATGGCACAGATCGCCTTCAGGAAGAGAATCGTCATGTTCGCTTTGGTCAACAACTTCTCCTCGACTTCGTACAAAGCCAACAGGCTCTCCAGCTTGAGGTAGGCGTCGACCCCGAGGTGTCGAAGTGCATGTACGAGCGTGGCAGAGATGGCAATGCGGCGCAGCGGAAGTCGGGCAAAGTCCTTCAACATGAAGCGTAGCGAAGGTATGTGGTCTTCTAGGTGTTCCATCTGTAAGCTATCGATTTCTGCCGCGCTTCCATGATCTGCTTCGCCTCGTCGACCCTCAGCCTGGTTGTGATTAGCCAGTGAGGTGATTTTGGCATCACCATCGTTCCTATCGTCAGCAGAATCGATAGCACAATAGGGATCACAAACAAACACATTTGTGTGATGCGGTCCGGTGAAAGTGCGAGTTTGTTGCAAATCAAGTAGTCTGCGAGGACTCCAATGTTACGCCACATCTGCAAATTATAGATTACATCGACTGACTTCTATAATAACGCTAACACTAATACGGACTTTACCAACTTCTACGACTCTGATAAGGAATATAACTCTCTCAATTACATAACAATACTCGTAGTATAACACAATAGTACTTGTACTACACATACTCTAATGGTCAGTATTTGTACTCTGTATTAACCCTATATAGTTTAAGTAATAATATCCAACAGTTTGAACTGAATTCTGATTTCCCAATACGAAGGCCACCAGGCTGGGGTAATACTTAGCTGCATCCTAGGTAGCAGCCCGCTCCTGCTTCCCATCCACAAGTTATCTCCTGATTGGTCCATTTTCATTTTATTTTCCATTTTTTCCAAATGCTTTAAAAGTTAAACCCATTTAAATTTAATTTTCCAATTTCCTTTTTAAAGGGTAATATTAGTAAGAATAAATCGAGTACCACCACCACTGAATGGGTTCCGCCGCCGCTAACTTCATAACCTCCGACCAATGAAGAAGTATGGGAATTTGTTGGACACCAAGCAACAATATCATCGGAGCGAATACCAAATCTCGAAATTCCCAAAAAAATCCTCCACCACATCCTCCACCATATAAACTCCCACACACAAGCGGCGAAGACCGTAGCTCTCTCCCGGTATGGCCAACCCTCTGGCGCTTCTGATGAGATGGATCAGTCAGAGTCAGCGAAACGGAAATTGAATAGGTTTTTTTTAGCTTTAAACAAAAATGGAAAATAAAAGGCAGTGGGTCAATGAGGAGATAACACATGGATGGGAAGCAGGAGCGGGCTGCTACCTGGGTTGCAGCTAAATATTACCCACCAAGCTGAGGACTTTGCCGCTGACCCCGTAAACTTGACGAGTGGCGCCATTGTTGTGGATGTTGACCAACGGGAGCGCCCAAACGCGAGCAGAAACAAAACGGTGAGCACAATGCTGAGCAACAGCAAGAACCGGCTACCAGCTTTGTCCGCCACGCGGCCGGAGATCATGCATGCATGATAGTTTTGATTAAATTTGGACAAAATATCTCATTCAATTATCATGGTTGGATGTCCTTTGACCAGATGGATGAGAACAAGTTTTGTGCTTTTGCTACAATTTTATTATCTCCAAAGCTCCAACCTCTAAGTTTTGGTAGAGTAGTCAAAAGAGACATTAATAACATTAAAAGAAAGTAATTTTTATTCTATATCTTAATGGATAGGGATGCACTAAAATCCATACAAATTAAATGCACATATAATCTGAATATTGATAAGTGAGTTATTGTTTAGATTTTCTTTCCATATTTATGGATTCAAGAAAGTCTATAAAATGATTGACCAGACCCGATTCTAACCACGATAGGCTCCAAAAGTTTGAACTCATTTGGCTTTGGGGGAAAGATAAGCGAAG